GCCCCCATTTACAGGCCCGCACAGCGAGGCAGAGCCCACCGGTTTCCAGCCCTCTCCACGTCCGCATGTCATTTGAGGGATGCGGGCACGAGCCTCGGCTTCCCCATCTGTAAAATGGGCTTGATTTTGATACGGCGTTGATGATGGCGGTGGGGATGCCTGCCTCTCGGATTTGGCAGCGAGGAGTAACCGTCCTGTGTCTCGCGGGTAACCACTGCCTTCGTGAGCTTGGCCAAGCCATTGTTCCTCAGCTTTGGAGGGAGACTGGAAACTAGATGAGTCCTGGCTGGATGCCTCTAGCATCTATCCATTGGTTTAGCAAACATGGTGCCAAGCGCTGAGCCAGAACCAGTCCGAGTCTCTGTCCTCAGGTGAGGTACAGCCCAGTGGGGGGAGATGGGCAAGAAGCGGATAAACAGAAACGAATAACCAAAGGTGGTAACTGCTAAGGAAACAAATGTTGACGCTGGGAACTGTAAGGGGATCGACCTAGAGCTGGTGGTCTCTGAAGGGCCAGGGAATCCTAGATCTGAAAGGAGGGAAGGATGGGGGAAGGGTGTGTGGGGAGAAACAGAGTTCTAGGCAGAAGGAACAGCACGTGCAAAGGCCCTGGGGCAGTATTAAGCTTAAAGAAAGTGGAAGATAGCAAATAATTGAAAATGGACAAGTGTGGTACTAGGGGTTTAAATTCAAAACCCAAGCCTTATTCAAAGCTCATCTTTCATTCCACATAGGTTCATCAGTCTTTCAGCAGAGAGAGCCTGAGCTAAGAGCCAGCCCATCTCGCTGTGTAACTTTTAGCATGTCCCTTCATATCTTTAGACCTCCATTTGCTCGTTGTTAATTTGGGACTAATAATCTCCAATAGTTCCACTTTGCCACGAAGCCCAGAAGATCCCTTGATAGCATTTACTAAGTAACCAAATAAACCCTCTCCAGCCTGCAGGAGCCAGCCTGGATGGTTTTGGTATCACTACTGCAGACATGAGTTTGGGAGAAAACAGGCTTGCTGATTGATGGCAGGTGCAGAATTCCATTGAGAGTTGGAGGGTTATAGCTTGGAGGTCCTAGAGTCCCAGCTTTGCAGTGAGACAGAACTAACATAACAGCTAGTATTCTGGGTTTGCAAGTAACAGAGAATAATTTTGAGATAGTTAAGCAGATAAATGATGGATCGGCTGGGTATCAGAATCAATGAGAAGGCTGGGGGGCTCTCCTCTGAAAGCACTGGAGCGAGCAAGATGCTCCAGGGGTCTCATTGGCAGGAATGAACTGTAAACCCTTGACGACTGGTGGAATGACAGACAAACACACCAAAGTAGAACTTCCTACATGTCAAGTACTTCTCTAAATGTGTGACAGTTATGAGGTAAGTTCTACTATTGTCCTCGTTTTACAGATGAAGAAACTGAGACACACAGAGGTTATGCACCTTGCCCAGTGTCAGGTAGCCGGTAAACTGTGGAGTCTGGAACTGGACAAGGCTCTCCATTTCCAGAAATGGTGTTATTAATTAACCTTCCTGTGCTGTCTGAATGACTCTCAAGCCTTGTGTCACTCCTTGCTAGACTCAGAGACTTAAAAGAAAGATTCTGATCATGTGCCCGAGATTCCTTAACCCTGAACATATCAGGACTAGTCGGTCACCTACAAGGAAATTAAGACTCCAAAGAAGGGTGGGAACAGAGGACCTGAAATGACTTATAAACAAGTGTTCATTGCAGTCCACCCCTTGGGCTTCTCGACATGCTTTGCACATCTATTCCCATGTCTGTTCTTCCAAAAATACTCTACTGACACAGTACAACTCCACATGCACCCAAAATGCGTGCGCACACACGTACACCCTCATACTGTGTGACCTCAAGGAGGTTCACCTTTTGGAGCCTCAGACTCATCCTTTGGAGACAGAGAGAATACTATTTGCTTCCTCCTAGGACCATGGTGGGGGCTGAATAAGTTAATGAAGGTGAGGTGTTTTGCAGTGCATCTGGTACCCAGCAGAATTAACGTAACAGCACATAAAATGGTGTTGTTTATGTTAGGAGCCAATGGCTGTGAAGTCAGCCTCCAAATATACAGGCTTAAATGTTAGGTTGGACTGGATTCATCACTCAGGGACTTTCCAGAGGGTTTTCCAAGGATTGCTCAAGTATTTATTTCCTCTCTCTTTGGTAAATGAGTAACTGAGTCGCGCTCCAGTTGCTGCACTAGATTTAGAGAAATAACAAAGCCCATCACTGGTCTTACACATGGTGGTGTGGAGAAAACGGGGAAGCAATGTGGAAACGGGCTCTGCTCCCCACTTGCTGTGTGGTCTCACATAGATCCCTCCCCTCTTGGGCCACAGTTTCCTCAGCACAAAGTGGATGTTACAATCCTCTCCTCGTGAGACTTTTGTGAGAATCCAATGGAATAATTCATTGAAAGGACCTATCCTATGTTCCCATCAAGTGGTTCTGATATTGATTATTCTGATATTCCCAGGGCCAGGTGCCAGGACATCTCACCAGGGGACAGTCTCACTTGGGGGAAGAGAGGTGCTTAATTTAAACAGACTGTCATGAAATTCACTAACTCACTCATTCAATAAATATTTATTTGTTCCTGTTATAAGGATAGGAAATACTTGGCAGAGGTGTGGACACTCACCCCTCTCCCACTCACGGTAGACACCATTCATCAGTCATGGAACTTCCCGCTGAACCTAGAAGCAGCCTCGGAGTCCTCCTCAGCACAGAACCCAGGCAGCTCTGTTTGAGTGGCCAGAATAGAGTCAATGCCTGCCCTGGACTGCGTGGAGAGGGGAGAAGTTCTTCAAAGAAACTGGAAAGAGGGAGATGGAGACACAGGTTAGGTCAACACAAGCTTTTGTCTACTTCATAAACACTGGAAAGAAAAAGAACAGAAAAGACATGGTTGTCTCCCTTAATGGCCCCTTCTTCTTGCAGGGGAAATTAGAATGTCTCAGTGAGCTTCCTGATGTCAGATCTGGGCATGGGAGTGGAGGAGACCTGTGGACACACAGGTACCTCAGACACTGTCCCACCCTCTCCGAGGATGCCCAAAATCCGGTGGCAAGGGCAGAGATGGAAACAACCCATGAGAACAAAACCTCTTGGAGTCCCCGAGAATGAAAACTTGCCTTGTTCAGTTGTCCTAAGTTACAGTAGGGAGATCCACCCAGAGAAGGGATGGCACACAGTGTCACACTGCTCAGCCAGGACAACGACGTGCCACATTTGGTCTGCTCCTAAAATTGCTTCCTGTAGAGGAGCCCATGGTTATGTAAGGGGCTTCATTCAAGCCCCTGCCCACCCACTAACTCCCTGGAGGGTCATGGAGGTTTGCCTGAATTCTCTGAACTTCAGTCTCCTCAGCGGTACAATGAAACCACTAACCTCTGCTGTGCCTCCCTCCCCTGCTGGCTGTGAGGCAAGAGCCACAAGCATTTGTCATGTCCTGCAAGGGACAGGGGTCATGAGACGCATTGATTGATTGCCCACTCTACGCCAGGGACAGTGTGCTGGGTGCTGGGTGCTGGGGAACACGACAGACCGTCCCTGCCCTTGTAAAGCTCACAGTGTAGTAGGGGATCAAATCTGTATAATGAATGCATTGTGCACCTGGCAGTACAGTAGTTAAGGGGGGAGGAGGAGCACATATCAAAGGAACCCAATAGATTCTAAGAGTCTGGTAAGGCTGCTCTGAAGGCTTAAGCTTAGATATGAAAAGAGGAAGAATTAACTAGTAAAAGAAATCAGGGAAGAACACTGCAGTCAGAGGGAACAGCACATGCAAAAGCCCTGCGGTAGGAGAGCAGACTGGAGGCACAAAAGAGGCAGAGTGAGAGGGACAGGGACTTGAGAAGAAGTGGGAGAGGTGGACAAGGCTCTGCAGATCACAGAGCCCTTGAATTTCTCCTTAGAGCCATGAAAAGTCATGGAGGGAATTAAGGATGGAGTAATGTGATCACTAGAGGAA